CCTCCCCTCCCCTCCCCTCTCCTCTCCTCTCCTCTCCTCCCCTGCCCTCCCCTCCCTTCCCCTTCCCCTCTCCTCTCCTCTCCTCTCCTCTCCTTCCCTTCCTTATGCCATCTTGTTCTGGGGTTCATGCTGCATCTTTTCCCAAATTCTCTGACCCACGGCCAGGTCAACTCACGAGACGAGAGGATCCTCAAGAGCAGCAGTGGTGAAATTCCAGTTTGGAAAGTCTACATGCTGCTTGCGCCGCACAGCGATGACGGCTCGCTGGTACCTTTGTCAATTGGAAATTGGCTTGCCAAGAACACAAAGTATGGTCAGAGCCAGGTGTACTGTAAGCCGCACGTGCAAGTGGTCTTTGCCAAAGATGCTGCAGCGATTTTGTGCCATTGCCTCAATGCAAAAGACCCAAAAGCTTCCTGCTCTGTGCTTGAGCTGAGCATCCCGCCAGAGAACCTGAAGTCTACCAAGGCTCGCAGGGCGGCGGTGCCGGCTAGTGACCGAAGGAAATTTAGAAGTCAAACATCCGACAATATATGGACAGACGAAAAGCACAGGTGGGAAGAATCAGAGAAGAGAAGAGAAGAGAAGAGGAGAGAAGAAGAAAGAAGATCAGAGAAGAGAAAGAGTCAGAAGAAAGAAGATGCAGATTCACGGAAAGGTAGAACAGTCGCGAAGCATTGGGTTTTCCCAATGATTTGTGGCCCCGGAGGGTCGAAAAGTAGGCTCTCTAAAGCGGCCAAGAGCGGAGCCATTTGGCGGGGTGAGAGATGAAAAATTGCACGCTGTTGTGGTGTGGAGCACAGTTCGAAGTCAAAATGTACAAAGCAGACCATTCTCAGAACACTTTTGGAAGTTGAGATGTTGAAGAAGTGCACGCCGTTGTGGCGCGAAGCACATGTCCAAGTCAAAATGTACAAAGCACGCCAACACCGGAGCACTTTTGCAAGTTGAGCTGTTCAAAAAAGTACGCCGTTGTGGCGCGAAGCAGATTTGGAAGTAAAGATGTTAAAAACACCACATGAAGTTTGGACCATGTTTGGATGTTGCAGCCTCGTTTTTGGTGGCAGGCTCAAGAATTCTGCAGGATTCCAACAACGTTGGCATGCGTGAAGCACTTGAAGAGGATCCACAAAGATGCATTTCGCGTGAAAAGCGCAGTACAAGCAACATGTTCATCAGAGATGTGAGTAGGTCAGGGCAGAGATTTCCTATGAGGGGTTGCATTTTGGAGCGCCGCATCTTGAGGTTTACCAAGATAATTTTGCGTGGCAGGTGCAGCACTTTATATGACCGGGCCTCACTTTTGCGCGGCAGGCGCAAGTTTTTAGACAAATGAAATGGAAAAATCGCTGAACGCAATCGTACGAGGCCGTCAGAACTTTCCGCTTTTGAAGGAAGTCTCGCAGAACTGCTTCGTTTTTGATGTTGTCAACTTCGAAATTTGGGGAAGTCCCGCAGAACTGCTTCGTTTTTGATGTTGTTAACTTCGAAATGGGGGAAGTCCCGCAGAACTGCTTCGTTTTGGATAATGTCAACTCCGAAAAGATGGGGACGTCTCGCAGAATTGATGTGTTTTGGATGTTGTCAATTGTCAAGTTCCAAGATTGGGGAAGTCTCGCAGAATTGCTTCGTTTTCATACAATCTTGCAGGGTAGACAGATAGATAGACAGATAGATAGAAGACAGATAGATATATAGACAGATAATAGGTTTATAGAAAGGCAGAGAGACAGATAGATAATTAGACAGATAGACAGATTGATAGATAGACAGAGAGACAGATAGATACACAGATAGTTTGACAGACAGATACACAGATAGATCAATATACGAGCAGATAGACGGATAGGCAGGTAGATAGACAGATGGATAGATAGGTACATACATAGAAAGATAGACAGGCAAAGAGGTAGAAAGACAGAAAGATAAATAGACAGATCGACAGACTAATAGATAGATAGAAAGATAGATAGATCGATAGATAGATAGATAGCCAGAAAGACAGATAGATAAATAGACAGATAGACAGATCGACAGATAGACAAATAGATAGATAGATAGATAGATATATAGATAGATAGATAGATAGATAGATAGATTAGATAGATAGATAGATAGATAGGTAGATAGATAGACAGATAGATAGATAGATAGATAGACAGACAGGTAGGTAGGTAGGTTTAGATAGATAGATAGAAAGATAGAAAGATAGATAGACAGACAGAAAGACAGATACACTCTGGCTCCGGGAGGCCTTTAACTGGCTCCAGTGCGGCGCAGCGGCTTCACTGGCCCCCCACTGGGTGGTGAGCAAGAACGACGGCGACGCGCACCTGATGACGCAGATGCTGATTGGAGAGTGTGCCAAGCCATCGTGCGCAAGTGCTCACTGGAGCTAGCGGCATCGGAGGCCACCCCGCTTGCCTCTTTGGACCAGAAGAGGTGGGGCACTGACAGACAAGTCAAAATTCACTACCATTGTACACTGATCCTGGCAGATGCTGAACCTTTCAGAATATCCCTATAGGCTTTGAACATCAAAAGCAAAACCTGTAGTCAAATTTGCTTTATGCAAAGGGAGCTTTGATTGGGAGCCCATCACACAGGGTCTGCTTGGTTGACTACAGAACATATCATAGGGAGACCATTAAGATTTCCCGACCACAATCGCCAGCACAAGCATCTAGTTTGTGCCAGCGGGGGGAAAACCACGCCAGTACTCGGGCACGTTTCTGAAAACACGCATATGTGACTGGGTTGCGGGGCGTGTTAACGTTCATGTTAACTTGCGTCACATGCACATGCTATGTCATGTCTTGGCGGCTGTCAAAATCGGCCATACCATGTAGTCTTGTGATCAGAGCCAACAGTGTTCACACGACTGTTGAACCCAAAAGCTGATGTGAAACATCAGGGTGTGGCAATGGCGTTGGATGAACTCCAAATCAAAAAAACCTTTTGGAGGTCACGAAGAAGCGCATGGCGATGTGAGAGGAGGAAAGCATCACGTGAGTCTTCGAGAGCAGATTCCCTGTAAATTACCGGACCTCATCAATATTTCACTTCAAATTCCCGGGGCAATTTAAGGATTTTTAAGTCTACTTTGTGGAATGGATCAATAGTTTCGCTGTGGCGACAAAGACATTTTGTTCTCAAAACGCTCACAACCGCTAGCGTGGTTTTCCCCCGACGGGTACTTTGCATTGCTTCTGTCTTCTGGCAGGCAGCAGCATGAGCTTCAGACCTTGGAGCACGACATCAACTTTTTGAAAGCCCGACTGGCAGATCTCCGTGGGGAGCGTGAACGCTTGGAGAACAGCCTTTCGAATCTCGAGGAGCTACGTGAGGCGAAGAGGCGCCGAGTGGACTAGTTGTTCTGGTCGCAAAGATGTGGAAGTTTTGAGTTCAAAGAGTTGCAGCAGCACAGTTTTCAGAGACCGTGGCTGCCATGACTTCGTTGGCATGACGTTGTATAGCCACTCGGGAACACAAGCACAGGTTGATGTTCAACGGATGCTGCGGAAAAAAGAGCTGAGCAGAGAAGAATCATTCAGCAAACCACAGGACATGAGGCCACCGAGTTCTTATTCAGTCATAATTTCTGTCTTTGTAGAGCACCTTTATCTTTCCATACGGTTCCGTGTATAGGTGCCTTTCAGCTCCCAGCATGTCTTTAGCTTTGCTAATTTGTTTTGAATGTGGACCGTGCAGTGTCGATTTTCCATATTGCATCCCCCTGGTCTCATCATGGCGCATCAAACAGCACGAGCTGGCAGGTTGTTGGGTGCTGTGCTCGACGGTGAAAAACTTGAGAAGCGCTTCAGCATGAAGTGAGCCGACGGCAGAAAAATCGGGTTGCTGCAGCTGATCTTGACATGTTTTTTCATTGTTTCTCATGGGAAGAGTTTCTCCAAGTTCCCTTGCTTCTCATGGCCTCCTTATCTTCACCTGGTGTGTTGGACATGCGCGCAAGATCCGTGATTCAAATATTCTTGTTTGATTTAATTTGGATCTCACTTCAAACTTATTTGTGTTTGGTCCCAACCAAGCCTTCAATGTGATTGTGTGCCTCACCAATCTAGTGGGAAGGTTCTGTGGATGGGTGGCTGTGACAAAGCCTTTGATATGCCAAGGCAAAACGTGCCCCTGAATTTGTGACTGTATGGCATGGATTTCTCTTAGAACCAATGCCATCAATTCTTTCTCGAGAATTTAACAGATTTTGGTACCGCAAGGTTTTGTGAAACATGTGTCTTATCTTGCGTTTCTAGATGCCAGGTGAGTGTCTCTAGATTTTATGTTCACCAATGTTCCTCGTCTTTCTGGTCATCCCCATCACAAGTCTCTTATCTTACTGTTTTTTTCATGATGGTTTTCATCTTGTGGTTGTTACGCCGTACTTGTCACGTCATTGGCAATGGGCGCTATAGGGATGGTTTGGTCAGTTTGGGCACTGGTGTCGTCTGTTCTGTCGTGAAAAGTATGGGTCTGACAGTACGCAAGCCACACGCTGAATGGCAAAGCATTTACAGGACAACCAAATGTGGGACAAATAAGTCAGAATATTCCAGTGTGTTGTGTGTCCGCATATATGCCACATCTTATATAGTAGAATAACTAACTACAAATACGCCGCAATAGATGTGAGAATTCATGTCTAGCAATTTATACAAAAAGTCAGAATATACAATGGAAGATATTTTCGATGTTCTCCATCATACACCACCAAGTACGATGCAAGAATAAGTCTGTGTACATGTTTACCTTACAATGATACATGCCAACAGCACCTCACTTGTCAGATTTATATGTCGTATGCTTCACGGTTCCAAAGTCACTTGAAACTGAAAAATATTAAAGCCGGTTTGCCGATAGACACATTTCTTAACTATAGCAGCTTCGCACCCTTTGTGTCCAATTCAACATGAGATACTTATTTCCTATTGCTTCTGTCCAACTGTCTCACTCACTTTCTTGGTGATCACTCGAAGTAAATGCTACGTTTTGAGCCCCTTGATCGCTATGTGCCTTGACGTCGCTCAAGGGGGACGAATCTAAAAGTTTCATCACCTTTAGCACCCCTAAAGTGCCCCTTATCCTTGCAGCCATCTCAGGCGATTAAGGGGGATGAATCTCTGCCTTTTGATTTTGCTTTTGAAAAAATGTTCCCTTTCGCGGTCCTGGCTGCACATGCGGTTAAAGGGGACGAATCTAAAAGTTTCATCACCTTTAACCGAATGTTGGAGTTATAGCGGTCAAGGGGATTGACTGGTCAACGGTTCCTTTGAAAATGATGGTATAGAGGCCTTCTTTCTTTCATTGGCAACTGCCGTCACGTGATTCCAGAAAGCCACCATTCCAGATGTGTGTTCCGAGTCTGAGCTGCTGGTTTGTCAATATTTATAGAAAGCCTTCCGGACCTCTCGCATGTGATTTTTTTGTGCCCCTGCAACATTCGAATTGCTCAAAGTGCATGAATTTTCCGAAACCTTGAAGTAGCAAGGCACAGGCAGTGCGATGGAAGAGGCACTCCTCAGCTCCCGTGCCTTTGATCCTGGGAGGGTCCTGCCCATAGCAACTGAGTGGAAAGCTTTGCTGCCCTCACACCGCGAGTCCAAAATTGCCAGGAAAGAAGATGATAGTGGACTCCCTGGAGTTGTGAGCCTGGACGCGTTTAGCGACACGTTTGGTGCACAGCTGTCTGGAAACAGGACAGGGATGCTCACTGCCTTGTTTGAAGACTTCAAGACGAATTTTGTCCGAATCTCAGAAATACTATTTTCAAAAATTTACCATGTGCATACAGTCGTCTTTGTGGCAGCTGATTGTCTACCCATAGACTAGAGCATGCATGTGCTTTGGTAGTTATTTGATACTTGATTGGCTTCAAGTAGCCTGGCTAGCCTCGAATTTGGCACATAGATGAGTCCTGAAAGAGACAGTGAACAGCAGTGATGCCACCGTGCAATAGTCACCACGCAGGTTGGTTTGACTTGTTTTTATTTGCCTGATCACTACTTAAAGATGCAGTTCCTACCAAGGTATTGGCAGACATGCCTTCTATTGTCTTGCCGTTTTTGACCTTGGAGGGACAGCAGTGTCCGTACATTTGCCCGGATGGCCACCTTCCAAATGTTGAGACTTTGTTTGCATATTTGAATTCAGTTGGCCAATCATAGCTCACTCTTTTTCCCATCTGCCTGGTCAGGGCCCCTGGATTTTAACAGAGCACTGCGGCCGGATTCTTTGCTCCTTCTTCTTCATGGCCAGCTCGTGTGCCAACCTTCTCTTTTAACAGCGCTCTGTGTGTCACCGGACCAGATCCCGAACCTGACACCTAGCTCACCAGCTCTGTGAGGGGCCCGAGAGAATGTCAAATTGATTGACAAATATAATGCCAAATAGAATAGCATGTAGATAGAATGCCTGATGCAGTGTGAGATAGATAGAAAGTAAAAGATATGCCAAATAGAATACCATTTCTCATACCATGTCAAACGTCAGAAGATATGTCAGATAGGATGCAGCATGCAATCTTTAATAAAAGCCACAAATTATCTCAGATTCCAAGAGGTTAAGAAGCCAGATCAATCTTCAAAGAGAAGAGAAAGAGTCAGAAGAAAGAACACGCAGGTGCGCGAAAAGGTAGAACAGTCGCGAAACATTGTGTTTTTCCAACACAAGTAGGGCTAAAGCGGCGGGTGCGGAGCCATCTGGCGGGATGAGAGATGAAAACTTGCACGCTTTTGTGGCGTCAAGCACATTTCAAGGTCAAAATGCGCAAAGCACACCAGGTTCACAGCACTTTTGGAAAGTCGAGCTGTTCAATAAATGTATGCCATTGTGGCGTGAAGCAAATTTGGAAGTCAAAAGTGTAGAAGCTGAGGGTCCTAGGCCACTTTTGGTTGTTCAGATGTGGTTTTGCGTGGTAGGCGCAGGGGATTCGGCACCGTGCCAAAAGTGAGCAAAACGTGATGGTTTTGTAGCAGTTCCGAAAACGGTGGCAGGTGTGGGACATTTGAATCGGATCTGCAAAGATGCATGTCGAGTGGCAGGCGCACTACAAGAGACATGTTCATCAGAGATGTGAGTAGGTCAGGGCAGAGATTTCCTATGAGGGGTTGCATTCTGGAGTGTCACATCTTCAGGTTTGCTAAGATGATTTTGCGTGACAGGTGCAGCACTTCGTTATGACCGGGCCTCACTTTCGCGTGGCAGGCGTGAGGCTGTCGACAGATGGAATGGAAAAAGCGCTGAAGGCAATGGCATGAGGCCGTCATCTCTGCACTCAACTTTCTGTTTTTGAAGGAAGTCTCGCCGAACTGCTTCGTTTTTTAAGACAGATAGATAGATAGATAGGCATGTAGGTAGATAAATAGATGGATAGATAGATAGATAGATAGATAGGTAGACATGTAGGTAGACAGGCAGACAGACAGACAGACAGATAGATAGATAGACAGGCAGATAAATAGGTAGAGAGATAGAAAGAAAGAAAGAAGGAAAGAAAGAAAGAAAGATAGATAGATAGATAGCCCGACACTCCAACCACCTAAATGTCGGATAGATTGCCAGTTCAGATGTTGGATAGAATGCCAGGCAAAATGTCTGACTATATGCCGGATATATGCCCGCTAGATTGCCTGATAGAATGCTAGGTCGACAGCTAGATGATAGTGTTACACTGTATGTCAGAGTGTTGTAAACAGAATGTCCGGAAACATGTCAGAACACATGTTAGAATATATGCTGCCGCGGTGGAAATCACTCGAAGAAAGTATTTTTTCCAAGAATGGGTCCACAAGCCAATGAAGAACATTGCTCTTCAGTTCTGTGTACAGCGTGTTTTTGCAAGTCCAATACGGCAAGACATGTGATTTTCATCCAGTCAGGAGTGGGAGCACATCATGGCTCTTCGCCTGTTACACAGAGAACTTGGTACGGAACCAAGCGAGGAGGACACAGCGTCCTTGCAAGATGTCAAGCGCATTGGCCGTGAGGGTATCAAGGCCTCACGGCATGATATGTTGTGCTTCTTTGCTTGGGAAAACAATGAACAGACTGTTCCCATAGAAATGCTTCACACACACAGTGATTCCTCAGTGATGATGTCTGACATTTGAACCACCTTGCTTCGTTCCAGTTTGGTGACAGGGGCTGTTGTGATAGAATTATCTTTGACAGGTGACGTGGACGGAAGTGCCAAACTATGCCGTCTACTGCACCATGAGAGAGGGCCAGGATTTGAAGAAAGATCGCCGAACGAAGACACACTATGTTGACAGCGTGTTCAATCTTCTGAGCCTAAGGCAGCACGCTCAGAATGCAGAGCAGGCAGAGAAGCTCTACATTGCTTGGCCCTCAGCTGGGACGCCACCTGCCAAACAGACAATCCCCTGACACCGAATGGCTCGTGTTTTCTCTAGCCGCTGCTGTTTTTGGCAAGGATGCCCTGAGAGCATCGGGTGGGGAGAAGCGTGCAGCCAGCGTGGTGCACGTTTGCAGCTTATACCTGGAGTGGTTTTGGTTTCTGAAAGCAGATATAGTGAATGGCACAGCATGTGCAGTGCACCTGACTTCTTTCGTCTGAAGCTGCGGCACACATTGCCCTCTAAGGTCTTGCAGAACTTTGAGCCGGAGACGCTTAAGGATGTTGTGATCTGGCGGACGACAGCGTCCATCCCACATGCGAATGCCTTTAAGGAAACGTATCTTCTCAATGGAGAGCTGGCGCGATTGAAAGGGCAAGAGATCAATGTCTTTGGAAAAGTAGAGTCACTGCAGCGCCTGGTTGTAGGCATTGCTTTGCGCAAAATTGACTCTGCGACCGTGGAAGTGTCTTGCTCTGGGCCAAGACTCAAAGGCGGAAACTGCTGGTTGATCAAGTTTTCTCATGGCCACAGCAGTTGTACACAGCTTTCGCATATTTTTGCCATGGCTATGCAGTTGTGCACCGTTCTGCTAGTGTGAATAAATTCTTTGCGTTTCAGCAGTCTGACTTCATACCATTCGCTTTACATATGCTAGCAGCCTGTTTCACGTGTTCATGCGTCGAGAGATAGTTGGTAGAATTGTCTCTTCAAGCAATGCCAACGAGAAACCTAGCAGGTTGCTGGCTGACCAACGACCGCTTCAAAATGTTGGCAAAGGCAAGGTCCTGAGTCAGTGGCCACCTGGCGCGCTGGACTGTGTTCATGTCGTGTGGAAACAGCAATGCGCCAAATCTTTCGCATATTGTTTCTCAACTCTGAAGACGGGTTTCTTTATTTTCTGCCTGGTTAGACCATTGCAGGTTGTGCAGCAGACAGCTGCCTGGTTCACTTCCCTGCGGCAAGCTTATGGTCCTGCCTACAGCGCTTGCCCTGGTGCTGAGAAACTTTTAAAGCGCTGCCTGGTCACTGGAGAAGGGTCATTGCTGGCGAAGCTGGAGGCAGCTTTTCTTAGCAGGGGTGTTGCTAGACGAACGCTCAGCAGCGAGTGGTTTGCAGTTTGCACCAAGCCCTTTCAAGAAGAATATTCTTTTCTAGACAATGAACGACAAATCTAAGACAGAACAGACACTTAATTGTATCCAATGCTCATGATCCCTTTTCCGCTACACTGACAGGATTGGGTGAACGGCAGCCATGCCAAATTGCTGAAAGGACCACACGAGTCGCAGCCAGGCTGGACCAACTTTTTGAGCTGCTGCTTGTTGCAGCCACTTAAAATTACGCATCACATATGAAAGCCGACGAGGGAAAACAGATGGTTCCACCACGCATGTCAATTATGTGTGCAATGTCTTGCCACGCATCAAGCCTCACCAATGCTGTTTTAGCCCGCTTCCACCTGACCTTGAATGTGTCGAGGTGTGCCCGCTCAGAACGAATTTGGTTTGATGGTGAAATCTTTGGATGCAGCCAGAGCAAGCATCCTCAAGGCGGGCCGGGGTAACCCGATTGTGCTCGCAGTGGTTAATCCTCTGTTTAGCTGGTTAGCTTGAGAAGAGCCGAAGCAAACATAGTACCTTCTTTGGCAGCAGCAAATGCTTGTTCCGCTTGTTGACCCATGTTGGTGCCTGCAGGTCGCGCAAGAAGAGGCTGCGGAGAAGGCTGCAAAAGCAGCTGCAGAGAAAGAGGCCGCGGAGAGAGCCGCAGCCCAGCAGGCAACCGTAGCTCAAGAGGCTGCGGATGACTTGGCCAAAGCTGAAGCTGCAGCTGAAGCGCCTGCAATTGCCCAGGTTGAGACAACAGTTGAGGCAAAGAAGGAAGTGGAGGAAGCTGAGAGTGAGCCGCCTCAGCCCAGCAAGCTCGAGCTGGAGTTGGAGCTGCAGAGTAACCTCGAAGTTGCCATGTGCACGGCTGATGATTGGCCTGACATGGCGGCAAAGGCCAAATGCCGTTGCTTTCTGGTTGTTGGGTACTGCGGCCGGCGTGGACCCAAGAAGGCGCACTTGAGTCCCTCTGTTGCATCAGAATTGTCGCACAGCAACTAAACGCCTGTGGCTTTGTCGGTTGTTGTAGAGAAAGTTGCGGTTCTTCTGATATGGGACCGAGTTTCATTTTCTAGGATGTCCACACTTTTTTCTCAAGGTTGTGCCTGCCACCATACATCCAGATACCTTTGCATGGGGACGCCGAAGCCCTTAAGAAATTTTCTGTGACCCTGACACAGTCACAAACACTTGTAGCAACACAACATGAGGCACCCCGTCTTTGCAGCCAAACCGTTTGCAGTGGCTTTCTCGCTTGGCGCCCACAGATGTGCTTGTGGTCCACCTTGGAGCAGACCCGTGTTCAGTTGACGCTTGCAAGGACCATCAAAGTCTGGCAGATTTTTTCCGTTTGCTTTTTGTCATGGGCAAAGAAAAGGCAGCCATTGATCATGCATGTGAGCACATTCCTTTCAGCAGGATGCCTTGTCGAAGAGTGCAGCGAAAAAAGTTTTGGAGCGATTTGCTTGGTCCCAGCCAATTTGCCCGGTGGTGCAGCAGTATGGGCAAGGTAGCAGTGGCGGAGGCTTGTATGTGGAATACATTTTGGTTGGCTACGGGCCTGACTACAGTGGAGGCCGCCTCACCTTGGGCAGGGCCTTGACCTCGGACATGCTCCTGGCGTTTCCCAGTCCGGCCTACCGCTTGCCTGCCTGTGCAGATCCGAACTGTGCCGCAATTGGCAAGCTGGATGACTTCCTGGCAGCCTGCGCAACCGACACTACCAAAACGAAAGTGAAGAAGCCCGATTCCATGGACAAGCTGTTGGCTGGCTTGAAGCAAGGCAATGATGAGAAGAGCGACGAGAGCGGAGATCAGAGCCAGGACGAGTCTGACCCTGGGTGCCTTGTTTTGATATCGAGCGGCTGTGTCAGAGGACTTAGAACTGCTGGTTGCAATGTTGCAAGCGAATGGGATAGAAGGGTATCTATTTTTCCACAATGGACAGGTAAACAAATTGGTTGGAGTCTGCATGTGCGGTTCCACTTCCACAGATGGCAGAGATGAGTAATTTTAACGATTGGAGAAGGTTCACTGAACTGAAACCATTGAACGGTATTGAACGCATTCTTTTCTGTTTTCATTATTGCTCAAACCATCGTGTCCGCTTGTCAGTGCTTCAACATGGCAGACGCTTCACGTCAAACGTGTTTTTGTTTGCTGCCATCCTGTGAGACATGCGCTGGCTTTCTTGCCGCCGCCCCAGCAGCAGCAGCAGCCCCGCAACTCGAGCGGAGTTGCTTCTGTGAACTTCCTGAGTGTCCGATCTGTGGCCAGAGCTGCTCTGTCCCGGTCCTCCCTGTGCAGACTCTCGGCTTGGTTAATTTTTGAAGCGGTGTGAAACCAAGTGTATGCATAGTCCGATTCGATTTTTACTGTGGCAGTCCTGCCTGTCGATCTCTTTGTCGTCCTACTTCCCTTGGCCTTTCCCAAGGTTTGTGAGCAGTGTTGTTGTCTGGTGGTGCTGGGCCCCACCTTAAAACCCATGATCGCGATCTCCTGCCTAACCAATGCCTGTTTGTCTTTCTTGCAGATTCGGTGTCCACTTGATTGACTTATTTCCAATATTTTGGTCGGAAGCTATTTCAGCATGATTTTCAACACATCATAAAGGGTCGGTGCGATGCTCTTTCTTTCTCACGTGCACCTTCTGCGCGTGCAAGGACCATTGATGTGTTGAAGGATTGCTGTCCTGTGGCTACACTCACCCAGAAGGGGCAACCTATCTCTGGGCAAGCCAAGCTAGCGATTGCAAATGTTGATCGGTCATTCCGTTCCCTTCTGTCCAAGAAAGAGATCATTCGGCAAGGGCCGCGCTGGACAAGTTTGCCATCCTCTTCTTCCCCAAGCAGCTCGGCACAAAGCTCCGCTTTAGGCTCCAGACTGGACCACCTCATTGCCCACATGTGTGGCATAAGCGTGAAGACCTTGAAGTGTGTCAGACGAGCTGTTGCAGACAACACAGAAGAGCAAGCCGCGAGACAAAAGCTAGCTGTTTTTTCTCATTTGTTGCATGGGAAACTCATACAGTTTTTGCCCCACCTGCCAGGTGAGGATTGTTAGATTTTATCAGAGTTGTTCTTCTCCTTCTCCTCCTCTTCCTCCTCGTCCTCCTCCTCCACCACCTCTGCCTCCACTTCCATGTTCACTTCCGCCTTGCCAACTCTTCGCCAAGCTCTTCGCCAACTTCCACACGCAGTGGGCACCGCTGGACCTCAACCTGGGACCTTCCGAGCGTAGTGAGCACCGCTGGACCTCAACCTGGGACCCTCCGAGCTCAGTGAATGGGACCCTCTGAGCTCAGTGAGCACCGCTGGACCTCAACCTGGGACCCTCCGAGCTCAGTGAGCACCGCTGGACCTCAACGGCCAGATAGAATGCCAGAAGATATGCCAGATAGAACGCCAGATAGAATGTCAGAAAGAATGCCAGAAGATATGCCAGATAAAATGCCAGAAGATATGCCAGATAGAATGCCAGAAGGTATGCCAGATACAAAGTCAGATAGAATGCCAGAAGGTATGCCAGATAAAGTGCCAGAATGTTTGCCAGAACATATGCCAGAAGATTTGCCAGATAGAATGCCAGATAGAATGTCAGAAGATATGCCAGAAGATATGCCAGATAGAGTGCCAGATAGAATGCCAGAAGATATGTCAGAATAGATGCCAGAAGATATGCCAGATAGAATGCCAGATAGAATGCCAGATAGAATGCCAGAAGATATGCCAGATAAAATGCCCGAAGATATGTCAGATAGAATGCCAGAAGATTTGCCAGTGACAAAACGATAGATGTCATGGTGGGGATAACACGAAGTAAAGTAATTTACTATCATTCATCGATGTATTCTGTGTTTTCGATAACAGGGCTGCTTTGCTAGCACCGGCAAAAGAAACAAAGGTTGCGAAGAATTTGGAGCCCCAGAGGCCTGGTCGACCACAGAACAAAACGGAGACCGAAACCGGGGAAGAGACAATTTCATCCTCAACAGATCAGCTTGATGGCAGCAGCAACAAAAGCATCGCTCTCAGACTTGGCCGGTGTGCATTTGCAGCCTTGCATTCGAAGAATCCTGCCATTGCCTACACGGCCGAAATTTCACGGCTACAACTAGGTGGTTGCGATGTTGGGCACAAGTACCATGATGCCAACACATTGGAAGCTCTGTCATTTGCATCTGTGAAGCTGTGCCGTGAAGCCTTGCGTCAGTCCATGCGACAGCCGCCCTTGAACTTGTCGCGTTTTGGACTTCGTTCTTGCTTTTCTGCCTCTCTGGATGGTGTGACTCTCCCAAATGGGCACACAGTTTTGCCCACCGTGGTGCACTTCACGGATGCCAAGGGTCAACTTCAGTGGGCTATGGCTGGATCTGAAATTCATGGGGTGGATTATTCTGGCAGGAGCACAGCCAAATTGTTTTTGAAAAGTTTGGCTTTCTTGGCCCCTTCAGAAAAATCACCAGAGTGGAGCCAATTTTGGGACCATTTGATATGTGTTTGCGGTGATGGAGCCATGGTTGGAAACACCGGCATCTCAGTGGATTTGCACATCGCAGAAGTTCTGAAGCTCCAATACCGAAGTGGCATGCAAGACGCTTTCCATGAGTTTGATTTGGTGGGACGGCCACTGATGACGGAGCTGCTGGAAGTACCTCTTCTGCCTGTCCTTGCTCCACATGCGCCACTATTAGACCCGGCGGTCCCCAAGCCAGAGCACGCATATCTGCCTTTGCCAGCATGGTTCCGGAGTATGGCCCAAGACTGCCCACGACTGCCAGCACAAGCTTGGGGATTTGGCGCTGGCATGAACGAAGGGTTGCTGGAGCAAAGGGGCATGAAAAGAGGTGCCGACACTGAGGACCTGGTTTGCTTTTTGCATTGTTTTGTGAGGTGAAGGGATGCAGTTGGGGCTATATTGTGTACAGTGTAACAGATGCTCGTGTTATAGCAACGGTGACAAATTCTTGCATAATTTTAGGATATGACACAAGTTTGTCCATACTACCAACCTTTGAAGCTGAGTTTAGCCAGAAGTGCCAACATAATTGTGACCAAGCAGCAGTGCCAGGAATCAGCTGCTGGGCCCAGCAAGCGGCGGCGGCAAGCATCTTCTTCGAGCTCCTCAACGTCTTCAAGTGACAGTGAGGATGACGAAGCCTTTGGGCAATCCATAGCTGGCTGGCTTAAACTACAAAAAAGGTTTCGTCGGCTACTTGCTTATGGGCAAGGAAAGGAGTTGCTTCGCAGAGTGGCTGTGGCAGCTGGTCGTCGGAGAGATGTGGCCATCCAGGCCCCAGCCCGCACCCGTTTCCTTGTGTACAACAATGGTGTCTTGCAGCAGAGCTTGAAAGATTTCCAGCTTCGCATCTCAGGCTTGATTGAAATGCAGAAAGAATTCCAGCGCCGGGTCAGTGCCGCGCAAAGGCATGCTGCAACTCGTCAATCCGCACCGGAGCCACCAATCAGCATGAATGCGCCCTTGGGTGTTTTAGCTCGGGGCTCAGGCCCTAAGCCACGCAAAGAGAAACAAAAAAGCAATGCAAAGGTAGCCCGACTTCAAAGCCAACAAGCAAAGCGAAATGAGGTGCTGGCAAACCTAGCTAGGCATGCTACAGACAGCGAGAGCCTATTTCACGTTTTGATGTTCGTGGACGTCATGCAGCCGTTTTTCAAAGGAGCTTTGCTTGTCCAGCGCTCCGATGCAGTTTTCTTTGAAGTGCAACGGGGCATCTTGGAAGTGCACGACACCTTGCTGGAGGCCACATCCCCAAGCACTTGGTCAGTCACCACGGCAGCTACGAGGTAGGGCGCTCGTCGGATATCCTAGGGGTGAATAGGGGTATAGATTTGAACTTGTTGGGCATGAACATTTTTCTGCGGTCAACTTGCGCCATTGAGATGTGCGCCTCCTGATACAGCACGGGCATTTCCACAAACATGCAGGGCTGCACTTGGATTTTTGCACATACATGGCTGGCAAGTCTTTATCCAAATGTCAATGCTGCTTTTTGGAAGAGCAGAAAGAAGGAGATAGATAGCGGCTACTGCCGCCTGTGTCTAAAGTAGATGTACTTTTTAAAAAAACATGGAAACGAAGCAGGGGAACACATCTGTTCCCTTTCGTTCCGATACCTCACATTCCCTGAAAGCCACTGGTTCCTTTACATGCTGTCCATTGTTCGAACATTGCGTCACTTGCAGGGCGTGCAGGCAGCAATTTTCCGAACTTTCAGCTGAGGGTCTCTAGACTTCGTGTCAGCTACTTCTCCTCCTCCTCCTCCTCCTCCTGTCCTCTTCTGCTCCGCTTCCTGGCTGTCATGCTGTTGTTGCTTTTGCTATGACACGCGCATCATACCATGACAGTGCTAGCGATCTCATCGTGAGTATGGGCTTTACCCACTTGAACACTCTAGACTATGCATGATTCTCATGGTCACAGTCCGGACCTCGCCCCCCAGGAAAAGAAAAATTCAGTGCCGGAGCTCAACATGGTGTTCATATCAAATAAATTTGGGGAAATGCCAAAATTGGATTCCAAAACAGGCGTCGCAGAAATTATTGCAGTTCGTGCTATCCCCGTGCTGGCATATGTCCGGACAGATGTTTAGACATTCCGTTTGACAAATGTTCTGATATTCCGTGTCAAATATATAATCTGATATATGTGAAGACACATCCGGTTTGACGGTGCTTGTATTAGTATATCCTCATTTTCTTATCTGAGGTAATTTTTCGCATATATTATAACATGTTCTTTGGCATCTTCTTATTTGAAAGTATAGCTGGCAGGTTATATGACATAAAGTTTGACATTTTCCCTGGCATTATCTGATGGTCTATTTGCCCTATGGTTCGGGTCTGGTGGAGGCCAGAGAGCGGGAGAGCCTCCAATAGGGTTTGGGCCTTGTGGGGCCCAAAAGCAGAAATCTGGCAAGCTTGCCGGAGGGTTCCGTTCTGTCGGGTCGAGGGTCGAGAGAGCTGGCAAAAGCACACGCGAAGTTGTGTGCGCGTGTGTCTCTGTCTCTGTGTGTCTGTGTGTGCGTGCGTATGTGCGTATGTGTATGTATGTGCACGCGCGTGCGCATGTACGCTTGCGTGCGTGCGTGCGTGCGTGGGTGTGTGTGTGATCACCAGTGTGTGTGTGTGTGCGTGTAACATCTGAACAGATGTAAAACTTCTGCTATATTCCTTTTTTATCTAGCAAGGGGTCACCGGGGTGTGGGGGGGTCGGTGACCAACGAAGACATCTCCCCGGGACCCGTCAAAACGTACCTGCAGGACTTCAGTGGTGCACCTGGGGGCGTCTAAGTCGCAGCTGGTGGCCACCGTAGTTATATATATAAATAAATAAATATATATATATATATAAATATATATATAAGGTTAGGTCTAGGTTTTTATGGGATTCAGTTCTCATCGGATCACTTCAATGATCCAGTTCTATTCTAGTGCGATTTCCATGGTGATTCCGATATGGTGCCATGGACCCAATTGAGGGAACCTTTTTTAAGGTGAATGTGGACAGACCTGACTTCCGAATTTACATTTCTAATGTGAGAATTCATTTCCGTAATGTGCAACAGTCAGCCTTGCCGTTCACCACCATGTCGCGACTTCTCGCCGATCCTGCTGTCCTTGTGAACCCTTAGTTAAACTCCTACTTGAATGGGGCCACGCCGAACAGCTAAAGCTTCTGATGCAACATGCAGCATAAAGGATGTTCCAGGCAGGTACATGCTTTCCAGGTGTGGTGATCTCTTTCTTTTGATTGTTTTCTTGTGAGGTCAAACATATTGTGCACCTGGGGCTTGAACAGCTGTTTGCTGTCCACGTGGCTTGATCGACAAATGTCCCCTTTGAGGGAAAACACACAATTTTTTAGGTTTGATATTGTTGTTTTTCACCCCTCTTCATCAACTAGTTCCCCATTTGGTCCCTAATTATCCCCGGTGCCCCTCTGTAATGTGTCGTGGGTTTAGGTGTGTGCTGTGTGTTTCCCTTCCACTCCCTGCGCTGTTTTGTGTCCGCTTTTTTCTTCCTCTTGCCTTTCAGGGTTGACCCGGCTCCGGGCCAGGTGCGTGTGTGTGTGTGTGTGCGTGCGCGTAACATCTGAACAGATGTAAAACTTATGCTTTGTTCCTTCTTTTATCTAGCGGGCACTTCGGTGGTGCACCTGGGCGCATCTAAGTCGCAGCTGGTGGCCACCGTAGTCCTCTATATATATATATATATATCAGGTTAGGTCTAAGTTTTCATGGGATTCAGTTCCCATCGATGATCCAGTTCGATTCTAGTGTGTGTGTGTGTCTTTGTGTTTGTGTGTGTGTCAGTGTTTGTGTATGCATGCGAGCGGGCATTTCGGTTAAAATCCAGGAATCCTCACCCGGCAGGTGGGGAAAATCATAGCACAAAGAGAGTCAGAACATATGTCAGACAATATCTGCTGATACATGTGCAAAAAAATGACATCAAAACGATAATTGTTTCAAAACTTTCCCACCATCCATTTTCAAAATCCAAAAAATGCACATAAAAGAGCAGTCACACAATGCCAGAATGTGGCGGAAAGTTTGTCGGAACATGTTGCAGTAAAGACGTCTATACACCGAAGAATTTATTAGGATATATCTCGAAAGGCAAATATCTTTGGATTGGCCCCAATGCATGTCAGCACAATGTTGAAATTTTCGATAACAGCGATGATACGAAGTCCTACACGTTTGCAACAGGCGGTCTTGATTGTCCTGTTCAATTGACGTGCTAGGTCTCTACGAGACGTGGGCTTCAAGATGCGTTTTTTGAAGCGCCTCCTTCTTTTTGTGGACCATCCTCGAGAATGGCTCGACATGTACTGGGTGACCTTATCTTGTCACAAGTGGTGGTGTTGGCAGACACTCCGGGCCATGTCCACATTCATGCTCACTGGCTTGTATCAGGGAGTGAGGCCGGGGTTGTGTCCATTTTTTTGGGGCCCTAACTTGCATGGAGCTTGGCGTTTCTTTCTTGGTGTAACCAAAAAAGCCATTGCCTCACGGGAGTCAGGCTGAATGCTGGGCAGCTGACGGTTCCAATTTCAAATTTGGAGGGCTGGAGGCGACGCTCTGCAGCGCGTTCCCAGGTGGCCAGCAAGAGCATAGAGGTGGCAGTATCAAAAACTTTGGGCATCTGCAAGCATTTTTCCGATCGCTTTAGTGAGAAAGTTTTGCACTCCCTTGGCTGCCGCCTTCCACCGGCAGTCCTGGCGGCTGCAGTGGTTTGCTTTGATTTACCTAGGCTGTTGGACCCAGACAGAAAGTTGCCGCAAGTCCCGATGAAAGAGTTGCGGGTGCTCAGCACCTGGGCGCATTTGCGCTTGAGCCGCATCTTAGAATTTCCTGCCTTCGAGGATCTCGTCCAGCAGTACCAAGATTTGCTTTCGCATTGGCGTGACAAGGTTGTGGCCACTTGGGACCTTTTTTGGACTTTGCGTTGTGCCACAACGAAGTTTCCAAATGGAGGCAAGGCAGTGGTGCCCGCTTCCTGGCTTGCCATCAGCAGAAGAGCGGTTCCAACTCCTTTGACACTTGGAAGTTCATCCGTGATGCGTTGTTTTATCCAACTCGTAGCATGAGAGGTGAATGTAACGTAGCATGGCCTTGGCTCCTTGCACTTCGCACCCTTCTCAACGGAACAATATCCCCGCATTTGCCGAGTCACTCTTGATTCCGTGGCCAGTTCCAGAATATGTTGCTTTCACCACCATGTCCAAGCTGAGGAAAGAAGGTGATGCGTGCGCTTTCACGCGCAAGGTGCGGCCGAGCGGCCTCAGAGAATTCATTGTGACTTTGGAATGTCTCCACTATCGATTTGATTGGACCAAAGCCTGGGCATCCTTGCATACTTTGAAGGAACTGGTTCCTGACCATTGCAAGGAGGTGTTTTTCTTGTTTCATGTGACGGGGTCAGTGAAAGTGTCAGAGCAATTGTGTGAAAGCCTAGCTTCAGTTTTGAAATACTTGGGCAAAGACCGCCCGAGCGCCGCGACAGAGAGTATTGTTTCCAAATGTATCATGCGGGTCAGTGGCTTGACCGGAGCAACAGCAGGCAACAGCAGAGAACGACCTTCTGATTCAAAGAATGTGGTGTGAAGTGGCAGGCGTGGATTCAGTGGACAAGATCCGTTTCCATGTCAAAGACCGGAAACAGCGGGAAAAGCGATTTCCACTAGGGCATGGCAGTAAAACCTTGCATTCTTTTACTCTGAAAATGCGAGCCAAGAACAAAATCTCTTTCTCTCCAAGACAGATGCGCCGGGTGTTGCGCCCACGAAGTGGGCAGACAGCATCCCTTCACATGTGGCGCCGTCATGCCCGTGAACAAAGAATGTCAAGTAAATCTTGACACGAAACGGATGTCAAAACGTGTTTCAGGAGCCACTTTGTGTTAGCTTTTCAGCTTTGGAGTGTGGATTGAGGAGCTAGCTATGGTTATTAAACTGTTGAGGGAACACCTATCTTGGACAAGATTGAGATTAGCAACGAAATTGCACTTGGAGCTATTTTTTGGTGCAGCAAGAAATAGGCAAGGATAGAGACTTGGGGCACTTTCCTCTTTGAAAGCCCCATGCAGTGAAACAGTAGACTTTGAATGGAAATATTCCAAACAGCATGTCTACAGTGAGGAGTTCTTACGGGAAGTGTAAAGGCCGGGGTTTGAGGTTTGAGCAGGGTGCTCGAAATGGCCTCCGGCTTTGCCTGCGCAGGCTCACGCAAAAATTCCCTTGTGAGATGGCCATGTCCATGTCGGCTGCACATAGCCACACAAAACAAGTGTCTTGCTTTGCTCCTTTTTAAACGGTTTACATTTACCGGTGCGCCTTTTCTTTGGGAGCTATATCAATTTTTTGTGGCAAGTGTGGGGCATCCGGAATACTTTGCGGTCTGAAACGTCGTTTTGCATGGCCGGTGCCTCATTCCCATGGCAGGTGTGGGACTTCTGCTCGTTGCTAAAACGTTGGCAGGTATGGGTGGGGGGTTTTAGCTGCCATGTGTTGTGATTTGAGGAACTTGGACTATGTTTTGCAAGGGTCGCCAGTCTCGTTTTGCGAAAGAGCTGTCTTTTGGGATTTGGGACACGATGATTTCGCGTCGCAGGTGCAATACTTCGGATGCCTCAGGCTCTTTTTTCGTGGAAGGCACAGTATTACTCTGTAGAGCTCAGTTGAATGCACGGGTGAAACATTGTTTTTCACTTTCTCAATCTTCATTTTTCGCGGTATGCGCCGTGCTTGGTGAAAATCAAACATGTGCTCCCGCAACCGCAACCTTCTCGGCAGTTTGTGCGTGCCAGATAGCTCTTGTCGTGCCGTGACTTTGATATTTTCTCTTTCGCGCAACCTTCTCTGCATTTTGTGCGTGTCAGATCGCTGCTGTTATAGTGTGTTGCGATTTTTGTTATCTCTTGCGCAACCTTCTCGGCACTTTAACGTTTCAGACCCCTTTCGCGCTGTGGCTTGGTTCTTTTCTTTGTGGCAAGATCTTGTCGAGACCATGCGGAAATTTTATTCTTGAAGAATTTCTTGAATGATCTTGTGTAGGTCCTTGTGAGAAGATCCCGTAGAGATCATACAAAAGCTGTCAAAGAAGGGTGAAACCCCTCAAGAAGTCCTTGCATGATCTGGTACTTACAGGTCCTTGTGAGAAAAAAAAAGTGCCCCTGATGATTGTACAAAAGTCGTTCTGGGATGCTCTTAGGAAGTTCTTGTACGAAGATTTTTTTAGACCCTCTAGAATTGAAATCGTATGACATTTTTTGGGGGGGTTCCTGCTCTGAAGTCCTCGCGTGAGGTCCCGGTCAGAAAACATAGTGTTGCTCCCCATGACAAAAGCACATCCCTGTTGCTGCAGCCCCGAAGCTGCGTAGTTTAATCTGTTACTGTTTCCGTAGCTACTGTTGCTTGTAGCGTCTACATGGTTTCCCTATCTCCCGCACTATTTGGGGTCTCTTGCCAGTGTATTGAAAGCCTCAAAAATCCACAAAAATATTATTGGGAGCTAGCTGATACAGTCGGAACCCCCTGTCAAAGCGGGCGCTTTGAAAAATGGAACTGCCCCAGATGCAATTGTCCCATACAAAAAACATGGCCAGGATAGGTCTGATGTATTTTGTCAGCATTCATGGCCCATTGTTGTTCCTCATCAGCCGTCAATCTATACATACACCCCAGGCTACATTGGAGAAAATTGCTGGTTTAGGCCTTGCTGGTGGAGCATCCGCGTGGCCTGAGGTCAGCAGATGGCGAAGATGGAGCAAAGCAGCCGCAGATCAACGCGAAAGCTACTGGGAACAAAGTCCCCTATGCCCGCAAGTCTTTCCGAAATGGACCGTTCCTGGGTTCAAACACTGTTTGACTTTGGCATGTCGCAGCGGAGTTGCAATGTCGTCGTGAGCCACCACACACACATGAACTTGAGTGTAATCAATTGAACATTTTCTGAAGACTTAAAATAGGTAGCCTAGTTTTGCTCAAGCTACCCGTGGATTCGTGAGTTTTCCGTTTGCATTTAGCTGAGGAACGAAGACTTTGTGGTGAAGCTCTTGGAAGCTTTTTCCACTGTGGATTGCTTGGTCTGTCCCTTTGCTGGCGAAGCATTTTCTTTGACATCCCTGGCAGGCCTGGTATTGCCAGGGCGCAACGCCATGACAATGTGACAGCCAACCCAGTCACTGTGAATCAATAGATTTGCATGTAATTGAAGACATCTAGCCTCTTGTATTCCTATACAAGTAAAGGCGAAGTTTTGCAAGTGCAAAATTATATTTCCACTTCCAGCACCTCGCTTGCTTCGACATGGATTATTGTTTATCAATTCTCTGGTCCAGGTGGCGTGCTCAAGTACAATCAGCAATCCTTTGGTCTCCGGCCTGCTGCAATGGTGTTGTTACCAGCTCCCAGGGCATCCGGCAGCAAGGCTCGAGCGGATGTGATGAAGCATGCCTTTGCTCACATCTTGACAACGTTGTCGACTGCTCTCTTGCAGAAGAGCTTAGCGAATGTGTGCAGGGCTGAGATGCTTTGGAAATTCTTCCCGCCATCAACCCGTAGGGTCCAGCAGATGCATGTTGAGATCGACGACTGTACTATCAAATAGACCCTTTTATTGTCATATCTCTGATTCACTATTGTATGCAGGTTTGGAACTTCTATCGCGTTTGAATAACCAATGGCACGATTCTCTAAATTTCGGCCAAACATTGCGGTTCAACTCTGCCAAGGTCTGGTTTCTCTGACTCGGGAACACCTCGAAAGCCACGTGTCCTTGGTCGAACTGACTCGGCTCCGGATGAGGTTGCCACGACTGCAGCTTTGGGAAAGACATCGGATGTGGCGGCCGTAATCCTGTCCGAGGATTTCCCATGCCTGGCAGACTTTGCCGATGAAACCTTGCCTGACTCAGATGAAGAAGGAAATGATCAGCAAACGTCCCAGAACCTTGACAGAGCTGTGGTGAGCAGGAGGAATGAGGTGAGCCGCTCGAAGCATGCCATCCAGGTCCAGACCAGCCCAACACAGGCAGCTGCAGGCTTGGGCTTGGTGGCGACGAAGCAGTTGAAGGCTGGCACCCTGCTTCCAGTCAAAGGTGTGTGGTTCTACAGCATGGAAGAGGCTCAGGCGTTCTGCATCAACAACACTTACCTCTTGCAGCCCCTTGATTGCATTCAGATCGTGGCCAAATGTCGCATGCCGCATGTCAATTTTCCTGTCGCAATCGACCTTGTAGCCCATTTAGCAGGCAACTTACACAAACATCAAGCATGCAAGTGAATCATTTGAGGGTGATGGTCATCATGGCCTGGGGGTGCCTGCCGGCCTGTCCAGGTCGATCGTGAAGCAGAACCTTGCGGATGCCCCGCCACGCTTCTTCGTTGTCACTGGCCTGGCGCGCTTTGTGAATGACTACAGAGGCCAGGATGTCGCCAGTGCAATCCTCTCGGTTTCAAATCATGCTGTGGAGGTTTGCAGTTCGGATTCATTACACTACTTGCAACTTGCATCTGTCCATTTTCCCTCTAATTAGTACGATCTCTGAAATACACCATATAGGACAGAAACCAATTTGGAACCAAATAGAACCTGGATTTTCGTTTCGAGTATTTGACTTTAATATGTTTGTCACCCTATGAAGTATTTTCAGCTGGTAGTAGTTTGGATGCTTGGCACACTGGTTGACCCAATTTGAGATTTGCGGGCAGGAGTCAACAAAGCGCCGAATGTGAAGTTGAAGTGCGACGCAGCAGCTGGTTGGGGGCAGCACACGCTGCAGCTTCAGGTGACGAAGCAGGTAGCGCGAGGTGCAGAGATCCTCCTCTCCTATGGGGAGGAGTATGGGCTCCCGCAACTCCCTCCGCCAGTGTTCGCTGCAAAGGTTCCGCGCCGCAAAAAAACCCAAAAGAAAACACCCGAAGCCGACGATGGAGTGAAAGCCAAGAAAGAAGAAGAAGCTGAAGCTGAGGGCATCGGCGAAGAAGTTGACTAAGTCTGAGTGTGCTCATGATGGCTTCCTGTAATGCCTGGCTGCAATGGACAGTGGGAGGGCTGCTCAACACAACAGCTCATGCACACACTCATTA